ACTTACTCCTCTGCATTGACATGAAACACGGGAGAATTCCCCACCATTTGCAGAAACGTGCTGAATTTCACACTTTCCTGTGTTAGCAGCACTCTGACGGTCCCGCTCGCTGGAGACGGGCTGCTCAGCCCTGTGCTCTCCCCACACATCACTGTCACCTTTGCAAAGTCTTGTCCATCTAAAGACAACAGCCCAAACTGATGGCCCAAGCTTGTGTGTTTTAAACCCAGCCCAAATTTGCAGCCTTGGGGCTCCAAAGCTAGTTTTCTTCATACATATTTAAGCAGACTAGTAAGAGTGGCTTGAAGGGCAGAGAAATTATGTTGGTCTATGATCTATGATTTGATCTATGAAATTATGTTGATTTATGGCTTTATATATGAATTTATATATTGTTGTATTTTATATGGATATTTTGTATGGATTTATATATTGTTGTATATTATAGAAACAAGTTAATACAGGCCATAATATTCTCATAACAACAGGGGGCAGCAACAACTCAGGAGTTTTACGCCAAGAACTCGCGCTGGACCGAAGGGCTGATCTCTGCCTCCAAGGCGGTGGGCTGGGGAGCCACGCAGCTCGTGTAGGTGCCCCCGGGACCTCTCCCATGGCTGCTGTGGGAGGCTCCTCTCCAGGCACAGCTCCACATGCTGTGTCCAGGGCCAACCCATGCTTCTCCATCACCCAATAACCCAAACTGTCCTGCTGCTGACTCTGCACGGAGCATGATTGCTAATTCCTTATAGAGCATCATATCCCGTGTTGGACCATATATATGGTCATGGAAATGGGGACTGCCAGTTCCTCCCTGTTTGAAAAATGTGAAACTTGCTGCCATCAAATACTCCATGTCCTGGTTGCTGCTGAGATGGTTGTGGATGGGGTGGTTGGGATCGAGTCAGGGTATCTCCATGCCAGTGTAGGAAATCATAGAATCCCAGACTGGTTTGGGTTGGAAGGGACCTTAAAGCTCATCCAGTTCCAACCCCCCTGCCAGCAGCAGGGACACCTTCCACTAGACCAGGTTGCTCAAAGCCTCAGCCAACCTGGCCTTGAACACTTCCAGGGAGGAGCAGCCACAGCTTCTCTGGACAACCTGGGACACTGTCTCACCACCCGCAGAGGAAAGAATTTCTTCCTAATATCTCATCTAAACCTCCCCTCTTCCAGTTTAGAGCCATTTCCCCTTGTTCTGTCATTAACTGCCCTTATAAAAAGTCCCTCCCCAGCTTTCTTGTAGGCTCCCTTCTTTTGGACAGAGCTTTAAAAATCTCATCCACTTCATTACAGAAGCACAATCCTGCCTCCTTTGGTATTTTATACCTGTCCAAAACTTCTCCATCTGGGCTTTGAGTAGTTTGCTTTGTAAATGAGCTTGTAAATTGCAGGCAAAGCTGCTGTTTCAGAGGCTGATGCTGGTTTCTAAGGGTATAGCAGGTGGTAAATAATCTGCACTTGCTTCGTAGTGCACGTATGAAGCATCTCTAACGCCCTGTCCCTTCTGATCCGTGATGCAGGGAGTCAGCGGACAGAGTTGTCCTGCATATGGGCAAATACGAAGAGCTGATTGTCTGCTCCCATGAAATCGCTGCCAGCACGGCCCAGCTGGTGGCTGCCTCCAAGGTGAGTGTCCCAGCAGGACCGTCTGCACGTGCCTCATCAGCTTTTAAGTCATTTTATTCCCATGGTTTTATCCCATGGATGCTTTTGGGCAGCAGTGTGTGGCTGTCCTGTCCGCCAGTCCCCGCAGGGAGGAAGGGAAGCTCTTCCTATTTTCAAGTCAGTCTGTGATTTTAATCCATGTGTTTTCACCTGCTTTAGTATTCCCACACTGGCAGGGCTTGGCCTTGGAAATGCAAATATCTAAAACCTCCTGTCTTCCTCCTGTTAAGCTGATTATGTAAAGAAAATATTAATAACTAATGAGAAACCCCAAATAAGCAACTGCAGGAGCCAGCATTGAGAATGATGGATTTTGGTCCTTACCACCTTTCCTGTTGGTGTCGAGGTTTCGATGAGCAAATGGGGATGGCAGGTTGGGAAGAGGGCGACCCAAATTGTTTTCTGCTTTTTACAGCAGATGGTTTTAAAACTAAGAACATGATTTTAAAAAACCCAAAAGCTTTGTTTTCACCGATGCTACTTATCCATGTGTGCTTGGGTCAGGTGGAGCAGAGCTGGCTTGATGTCCTGGGGCTGAAGGGCCTTGCAGGGGTCATGTTGTCTGGCCATGATGGGATCATGAATAAACACGTGTCCGTCTGTCCATCCATCCTTTCCACCCCCAGTTTTTCATGCTTAAGGACTCTTTTGATGTGGTGTAATCAGTGTCTTTGCTCTCACACGGAACACGGCTGCCTGGGGGCTCCCCCAAGATGGCAAGCACTCATGTGGAGGTGCCGTGGTTGGGACCCACAACCATCCCCATGTTCTTTGCAGGTGAAAGCCGAGAAGAGCAGCAGGAACCTGAGCCGGCTCCAGGAGTGCTCACGCAACGTCAACGAGATGGCGGCCAACGTGGTGGCTTCCACCAAGTCAGGGCAAGAGCAGATTGAGGAGAAAGGTGAGGTTTTTGCAAGGAAAGGGAAGGAAAAAACACCCCAAATCCCTTTCTGGCCTGGTGAACACGCCAAGGTGCCCGTCTGGCTTCACTGTGGTACGTGAGGGGTCTCTGTAAGGGGTGAGCTCAGCGAGGACCCTCCGCTTTTCCCCACAGACACCATGGACTTTTCAGGCATGTCCCTCATCAAGCTGAAGAAGGAAGAGATGGAAACACAGGTATGGCCATGAGGGTGGATTTGGAGGGGGGTGAAAACCAGGTGTGGGCATGGGGGGGTGGTTGGGGGGGGGGGGGTGGGTCCCTTCTTCTGCCCCTCAGCATGGTGCTGGGGATGGCAGGGGAGGGATCAAGCCATGGGGGTGCGCAGGGACCAAGATGGACCATCTCTTTGGGTGCAGGTGAAGGTGCTGGAGCTGGAGAAGCGTCTGGAGGGCGAGCGGGTGCGCCTGGGCGAGCTGAGGAAGCAGCACTACGCCTTGGCTGGGGCCTACGACACCACGGAGGACGGGGAGGCCAAGCCGGCGCCGGCCCCCAGGCGAGGCATCCTCAAGAAGCCCCCCCTGGCCCAGAAGCCCGGTCACTGGGAGGTAGGTTCCCCTACTCCCAACATGCACATGGAGGGGGTGTCACACGCAGCACGAGTGACCCACAATTTGCTTTTTTCCTCTTGTTTCAGCCTGTGCGAGACGCCGGCCCGTGCCCCCCTCACGGGGCGAAGGTCTAGCGGGCGCTGGCTGGATGCGGAACCGACGGCGTTGCCTTGGCGCTGGCGTGCCTTTGTGCGCGGGGGTCTTCCCACCACCCGGCCTGCAAAACTGGATTTTTTTTTTTTTTTTAAAACAGATTTTTCTTTTTTTTTAAAAATTTTATTTTATTGTATTTTTTTCCTTCACTTGATTCCTATCCGTAGAGCAGGGGGGGCTGGCGCTGGCCCCCCGAGTGGCTCCGGCGGCCCCCCCCCTCCCGGCCCCTCCACCCCCCCCTCCTCCTCCTGGCCTGTCAACCAGCTCTCCTGGTTTAATTTAATTTGAGGTTCGTTTGGGTTAATATATTTTTTTTATTAAAGTTTCTCAGCGCTAGAAGTTTTCAGTAAATGTAGCTCTCTACTGTACTGCTCAGACCCTTTCAGAGAACTGGGAGCTGTTTTTAAAGTAGGAAACTGTTGGGCTTTTCTTGCAACCATTTTTTTTAAATTCCCCTTTTTTCAGCCTGAGGAATAATTTGACTTTTTTTGGGCGAGAGATCAGCCCTCAGCAGAGGGGGAGATGTGAGCCTGAACTGGGGTGAGGAGCAGGGCTTTTGTAAGGGAAAAAGCAGTTACTAGCACACACTGGCAATAAGGATTCAAACATATAGATATTTTTTTTTTTTCCTTTTCTATTTTTTATTACTACAGCAACGTCAGGGGATCAGTTGCATTATGTTTTATATTTAAGAGAATTAGCAGAATTAAATCTAACCATGGCCTATGGGAGCCGGGGGGATAGAGAAGAAGTCTGCAGCAATAAGGAATTACTGATGTGGAGGGAGATGGGGGCAGAAGCAAAATCCTGTCAGTTGGATCTTCCCTTTGGAGCTACTACCACGCTGTAGATGATTAAAGAAGCAATATTTAAAATATGTGTTGTGGTGCCTGGTCAGCTTGGTGGTGGTGGGAGGAAGGGGCTGATGCCAGGGCCATGGCGGAGGGCAGCCCTGAAGCGTGGAGTCATCGTGCCTCCAAGGAATTAGGTAAAGCTCTGGGTAGGGGCGAGGGTGTGGGACACCTGGTGTGTGTGTGTGTGTGTGGTGTTTTATATATAGATATATACAGATCTATCTATATAGAGATCTGTAGTATATAGAGCTATATTTATATAGATATATGTGTATAGAGATCTATAGTATATATATATTTATATATGTGTGTGTGTGTATATACACACACATATGCGTAGCTAGGTCTATGGGTATATGTGTATACATTTGTATGTACATATACCTATGTATATGTGTGTGCATGTGTATATATATGCGGATCTACACACATATTTCTCCCTCTATAGCTATACATGTGTAGCTATGTATCAAACTATATATATATGTGTGTATATATATATAGTGTGTGTATCATGCTTTTTTTTTCCCTATGTACATACATGCATATGTATATTTGTTTAGCCACACCTATGTAGCTCTATGTATGTCTATCTATATCTACAGCAATACATATGTGTAGATACAGATATAGCTATATAGAGAGCTATATAGAGAGTGATACACATCTAGGTGTAGAGCTATGTATCTATATATAGCTACAGTGTCATGTCTAGGTTTATGTGTGCATATCTATATGTATAGTCACGCCTCTATACATGTATCTATATCTATACAGCTCTGTGTGTGCTCCTTTTTTTTTAATCACCATCTCTCTGCATGTATATTTATATATAAGCATGTTTGCATATATATTTTTTTTAAAATATAGACAGATACACATCTATTTATGTGCATCTGCATGTGTATAGGTCTGTATTTATGCAGTGGGCTCTGCTGCTGTGGCTGTAGCACTAAGGCAGGACCCACCCCTTGCCCCCCCAGGACACAGCAGCACATTAATTTCTTCTGCATCTGACTGCAGCAGCAGCCGGGGTGCCTGGCAGCCTTACTGAGCGTAAGTAGCTTAAATAGATAAAAAGCAATCAGGGTGCTGGATCAGTGCTGCCTTCCAGCTTCCAGCCAGAGCAGCTGCTACCTGCAGCCTCGCAGTGCTCATCAGGACCATCAGCACACACCTCCAAGAAATGGGGATTTTGTTTATTCTCTGATTAACTGGGAGTCCCTGTGGGGCTGAGTGTCACAGCACCTCTTGGTGCAACTGGGATGGACTGGTGAGACTGTAAGACTGAAGCATTTGGAGCTCAGCGAGAATGCCCGTAACAGGGTGAACACGGCTCCCTTGTATTTAAGAGGAAATTGGTGTGGGTACTTTTGAAAAAAAAAAGTTTAGAATTAACATTTTCATCGAATTCCTTGTGACCCCAAAACAATTCAAATTTCATGCAAACCACAAGTAAAAGCCATGCCTCTCTGTTCCTATGATTAACAATAGGCTATAAAGCAGTCAACTAGCATTACAAGTTGCTGTATCTCAAGAAAACACATTAATAAGGTATTTTATTATTTATTTTAGTCCTGGAGCAGTCTCACGCTGACTTAAGGTTTCTCAGGTTACACGTCACAAAACAGACTTCACAGGTTTACGAGCAACTACTCCAGGAAGCACAGTGCCAGTTCTCCTTTCTGTCTGTCACGATACAGCAGTGACTGTGGTCAGCCCCGTACTCTGGAGTTTCGTTTCTTTCAGAAAACTTTTCTCTGGGTACAAGGAAGCGCTTCCCGCAGCCGCTCGCAGTCTATTTATAGACAGTGATAAAAGATGTATTTGCTGGGAGACTGACGTCATCCTAACCACTCACACCATTACATTTCAGAATGGAAATACTGATTAATCAAGAATGCTGACTTTTAAATCTCACTACCGTAAGTCTAACCACAGCTATATTTAAAAAATATTTAAAGAATCCAAAAGTAAAGTAAAATGTGGCTTTAAGATGATGTTATGGGTAAATGTAACCTGTTTCACACCACTGCTGGTTCACTGTGATTTACTTAAATCAATACTTACAGAAATGTTCCAGGTGCCAGCATGTACAGTCTCAAAAAATATCAGCAAAAATAAAAACAAGCTCCAAAGGCCACTTAAAGTGTAATCTATGTGCTAAAGTAATTGTTATACCAAAATTAAGCTTACTGTTCGGTCTCAGATTTTTCTTAACTCATAGTTGTAGCAGACAGGAAAAAAAAAAAAATCACAACTGCAAACTGTGTAGGCAAAGGTTTATTTTGAGACTCCATCAAGACATCCTGCTGTACAGGAACTAATTTGCTAATGACTTTTAAATACCATTATTGTACCTGTGGAGAGGGGAAGGTGTTTAACTGGCTGTGCTACTGAGAACAAGTTTTACTCAGTACCTGTAACAAAAGCAATGGAAAAGAACCAAGCAAAAGTTGCAAAAATACAACATTCTGCGCCCTTCCATTGAGGTTAGTACAGTATAACTTATTTTTCCTGAAGCAGCTTTCAAACAGCCTCTTATCAAAGCCCTCCTTTCCCCACCCTTTGGCTCCCTCAGCAGCCAAATTGCCAGTAACCACAAATTAGTTTGAACATGAACACACAAAGCAGCTGAAGTTCAGGAACAGCACTGCTATAGAGAGCAAAGTTTACTAAACATAAGTGTCTCAGATCACTTGGGGAAAAAAAAAAATAGTCCATTGAAATCAAGCACACAAATAGAAACCTCTGCTGTTACAGGCTCGAGGAAGGCAGGTTAAAAAAAAAGCTCCTGTAAAAGTATGTTTTTAAGAGCCCTTAATTAAAGTCACGAACAGCAGCCACCCATTAGCAAGTTATTTTCTTTCCCTTCTGTGCCCAACCTGCTGGCAGGGGAGACTAAGGCACGAGTTCCGTCCATGTGGGCACTACTATTTTTAGTGACAGTATTTCCTGAATAGCCCCATCAGAAAAATGACTTGGGAAATACAGAATTATCAGCTGATACAGTCATTTAAAAAACACCTCATAGGTAACGCAAGTGTAAATCAAACCAGAAAAATACAGCGATGGTCTGTATTCCCCTTACTAACCACCTACCATCGCTGGCAGCGTGAGACAACTCCTGCACACACCAGCCCAAAGGACATTATCACATTTCTCTACAATCAGTATTTTCTTCTCAATCAGGTGGTTTTTGTGCCAGTGCTGAGAACTGCAGCCACTTTGTCACCTCCCATCCTCTATGGGATGCGACCGGCTTCTTTCAAGACTAATGAATCTCTCAGAAATTAGCCCATCCTGAGTAGTGGTTGCTAGAATAATGTGCAATTTTACAGGCACATAACAAGGTGTGAAATTAGCTGGTGTGGTGAGAATAAACCTTTTTAGCTTTGAAGGAAAAAAAATTCTTACTTATCACCTACAAGAGTGCAGAAAAATCACCCTTGAACAGGTTGGAGATAATAAGTAGTGCTAAAAGATAGCCGTTAGCTTACAGCAGGAGCCAGGGTTCAAGGTGAGCACTAACACGTCTTCCAGCCTCGGCAGTCTGTGATATCTCCTGCAGGTAGGGAGATATAAAAATGGAGATTTGGTTTCAGGTGAGGTTGAGATCCCACCATAGGCTGCCCAGGGACAGCCTGCTTGAGGGACAAGATGTCAGCTGGGGCACCAGAGGTTCAAAAAGGTTTCCCTGAAACTTCAGCTGAGACCAAAAAAAAATCTCTCAAAAGAACTCAAAGCAACACGTGTCTTGTTTCTAGTGCTAAAGTCTCGGAGAAGTGAACAGACATACCTGTGAAAGACGTATCAGGGTCAATTAATGTACAACCAGAAGCAGCTCAAATTACAGGAACAAGTGCCACCGAAAGCTCTGGGTAGGCTTGGACAGCCTCTGAAAACAAACTCCAAAGAGAAGGGACAAGTGAAGGCCACCTGAAATAACTGCCAGTGTTCCACTGAGACACCACTTGCTGTTTTTGCATTACTTGGCTTTTTTCATTATTCATTACACAAGGGACACGAGTCCCCTCCCAGCAAGGTGTGACTGCACTGGGTGACCTCACCTTTGCACAGGGAATGATCCCACCCAGCCTGATCTCTCAGTGCGTGTCACCCACAAG